GCGCTTTCAGCATATTGACTGCCTTTGGAAAGGAGAGCCCACATTCCCAGCCTTTTTTCTTCCTTTATGATTTAAGCAGCTCCATTTCCTAACAGGAGTCTAGAAGTTAATCCAACAGTTACAGTAGGCACAACTACCCTATGTACTTCTGAATGGTGAGCAATGGAGTCGTTCCAGTGGGAGAAGAATTGCTGTTTGAATGACCTATAGCCTCAGAGCTAGTTAAACCAGGAACAATGGTTACAGTTATGGGCTTTGCTTTGTACAAAGTAACATTAGCATCATTGCTTTCCATTAACCACGGAACTTGCACTGGGGACTTCTACTTGGAGGGGAGGAGGGGGGTAAGGAGGAAATAAGGGAAAGAGGAATTGGAGAGGGTCTAGGAAAAAGAAAGTGTAGCAATATGTGTACTATTAGCATTTAAACCTGGTTGACATTTAACATTGTAATTGACCTGAGCTATTTGCATAGACTAGATCCTATACTTCTTTTTCTTATCGCTTTTCTTAAATGTTTTAAACACCTCTATTAAGAATCAATCTCTACTCAGAAAACCATACACAAATATAAAAGCCAAGCAGAAAATAACAATGAAAACATACCTGCTAAACAGGTAACTTTTAATTCAGAGCAACAAAGGACCTAGAATGAGCATCCCAATTAGGCCGTGTAGTGACAAGCAGTCAACACCTTATTATTTAATCATTAAAGAGAATCTTGCCATAATTTCCCTTTGACATATTTCAAAAAATGAATTAAGGATACATCACGTGGCCCACAACAACAATCCGCAGTAAAGTTAGAGAATGCTAAGACCCTATATATATATATCTCACTAGGATTGAGCTCTGAGAGGTTTGGGAGTAAGTTCTTAAGTGAGACCCTACGAAGCATTTACAGATTTTTTTTAAAGTGTGTTAAATGTAAGCATTCAGAAACAAACTACCTGATAAATGGCCCATTTGCTTACGCACTGGGGGTTGTGTCCAGTTTTTGAGTGGATGAGAATGCACTGCAGACGTTTCTAGTATTGCTGAACATCTGCTGCATCGTCTTTTTTTTTTTTTTTTTTTCTAAGCAGCTGATTCAAGCCATGAAGGACATTAGGTTGTCTTGTCCCCTTTACAGGAATCTCTACCAGCAGAAAGCTGAAATCTCCTGAGGGTGAGTCTCCATGCCACTTTGGAGTCTTTCAGTCAAGTCTGACTTCGGTTTTAAATCCCTAAACTCGAACTACGCTTTAGAAAGGGCATTCTGAACTTCGATAATAGAACAATCACCACCGAAGTTCCCAGGCCCATTTGGGAACCCTCCACACAGGCTCAGATCAGCCCTAGATCCCCTAGACCTGGTTGCCTGGCGCCCTGACGCCTGGGATGCCCAGCCCGGGGTGGTGGGGGTTGGGGGTGCCTGCCCTCGCCCTCAGGCTGCCCCCACTCCAGGGAGCCTGCTAGCACTTGGCTTTTAACCTGCGGTGCCAGCGGGGCTTCAGAGCTTCATCTCAGCAAGCCACAGTACTTCTCCCCAGACGTCACGGGCCAGTCAGGATTAACACGCAACAGGGCGCCCTGCTCAGGCTGCCAGCCCTGGCCCGGGAGCTGTTAAATGCAGATTCGGGGGAGGATCCTCCCCACCACCACCACCCCCGAGAGCTGCTGTTGAATAAAACTGTAATCCGAAGGTTTCCCGGCGTCCAGCTTTCCCGGTGGGGAGAAGCTGGGCTGCGGCTGATGGCGGAGCACAGGCCTGGCAAATCTCTGTTCTCTGTCCGAGACGTGGCCACCCCGGAGGCTACCCGCTCCTCTCACCCTTAGTCCTTGGAGTCTCAAATGCTTAGATTCGGGACTAAAGAGGAAAACAGCTAAATATTCCCGTAAAGGAAGGCGGTGGCTCGTCCCCGGAGTGCGGCCTCAAGTCCGGCATCTGGGTGGCCCCGTCTGGCGCCCTTGGTCCTACCCACGACCCCTGGCCCCCAACTCCGCCTAGCCTAAGGCCCCGCGTCCTTCTCGGCCGGTGGCCTCTCAAACTCTTGCCTGGACGCCTCCCTTTCAGTTCTCCCCCGGATCTCAGGCTGGCCCTCTGAGGCGGGCAACTCGCCTGGGGGTCGCAAGCCTACGCACCCCGCGAGAGCTTGGCGGTCGGGAGAGGGCGCCAAGGAGGCTGGCGACCACTAGGCAAGGCAGAAGCACCTCCAGATGGCCTCCAAGAGTGGAGAAGACGGTAAACCGCCAGGAAGTGTGGGAGAATAGGATTACGGCTTCTACTGGTGTCTTAAATCAGACACACACACACACACACACACACACACACACACACACACGTATCTATCCTACATTGTTATAGGGCCTACCAACATTATAGGACCAAGTGAATTTCCACCGGCTTAGTAGCCCTCCAAAAACTCGGCTGCCATCAAAGTCGTTGATCCCAGACCCTGGTGACGATGGCAGCTTTCGTGCCCTTCGAAGGGGTGAGGAAATAAAATAAAATGAACCCTACTGCCAGCAAGCCCTAGAGACAGAGCGGTTAATGACTAACTAGTCCTTCTTTGAGCATGAAGTCCCTGAGGGCACCCAGTGAAGGCAGTTGTTGCCAGGGCCTGGTCTCAAACTGTCGGGGCCACCTTTGTGGACAGGTGGAGAAGCCAACCTTACATATCGGGCTCTTGAGGCCCCACCACGGGGGTTCAGCACCCCCCACAAACCAGCCCTAGACTTCTGAACTAACATTTGGAGGCCCTGGGGTAGCTCTCAGCCTTCACCCTCCACCTGGCCAGGGGAGGGAAGCCCAGCCCACCCTGCCCCCAGACAGAGCAGCGCTCACCTCCACCCCCCAGACCCTTTCAGCCACACTAGCTCCCGGCTTCTTTGAACTGGACAATATAAAGAACACACACCCTTTGCTGTCTTCAGTCCAAGAGAGCTCAGTGCGCCCAAGGGGACACACCGGCAAGCTCATGAGCCTTGAGCCTACTGCGCCACAAACCCAGACAAACCTAGGAAGCCCACACCTTAACAGCTCGGACCGCCTGCACGATTTTTTTTCTCTTTTTGTAGGTAGGTAGGGAGAATAAAAAGGTACGTGTTTACCCAACGCATATCTTAAACTAATGAAACCAACCGAGTAAGGGAAGTTTGGGGAGTAGTACGGAGCACTCAATAACGTTTTATTAATTCTATATCCTCTACACTCCCCAAACCCCGTAACTTTGGTCCTTTATCTTCGACTTTAATAAAATAATGATTCGTTGAGAAAATGGGGTATAAATCTTCATTTTGGAGGCAATTAAAGTGTTGATTTCATTCATGCCCCTAAGCGATTCTTGTAATTTGCTCAAATAGCTTTATGTACCCAGCACTCCGGAGCTTTTAGAATCCCATTTTCTAGTTCAGCTTGTTGGATTACAATTTTTACTCAACAGCAGCTACTAGTGGAATCTGCATTTAACGGGGCTGGCAATTGAGCCCCTAAAGCGGTGGCTGGGGAGCCTGGGGCACTAGCTGCCCTCAGCTCTCCCGCCTTGGTCTGCAGCACGCATCGGGTTCTGTGCTACAGGGCCCATGTTCCCGCTCTCCAAACAGAGGTGGGGACCTACCACTTCCAAGGCTCTTCTTTGCTTGATCACCCGTGGGCAAAGAAGAAATTCAGCCCAAGCTGTGGACCCACCCAGACTGGGAGAGGGTATGGGCAAAATACCTTAAGATGACACAACTAAGACTGAAGTTGGGACAAGACAGCATTGCCCCGGCAGTGACCGTGGTCAGACTTTCAGAGGAAAACACTGGAGTAGCTGGCCTTTGACTTAACAAAGGCAGTCTGGTGTTTCCCCAAGAAGCCACTCATCTGTCAAGCCGGAATGAGAAAGGGCTCGAGGGTTTTGCTGATGGGGCTGCAGGCAGAGAGAAGTCTACTGCTTAAATCTCTTGAATCTTTGCAACAATTCTCCACAGAGCTGTCCAGGACCCTGTTTCTTCTCATTCACTACTCAAGTTTTCACTTTCATTGCTTTTCTGTTTTTCCAACTCATTTGGACCAACCCAGAGACACAGCAACAGGAAAGAGAAACTGAGAGCAAATGGTGGTGCCCTGTGACAGAGAGCCCCCCCCCCCCCCCCCCCCGTCGTCCTTACTTAGCAAGGCAGAGCAGCGAGAAAAGCCCTGAAGGGAGACCAGGGAGGAGGGGCGTAGCAAAGAGCCAGCCGCAGTGGGGAACAAACGCATGGCCCCCTGCCCTCCACACCCAGGGAGTCGCCAGGGCGTCCTTGACGCTCACCCGGCCAAATGCTGCCAACCAATGCAGAAGGCCCAGAGCACATACCAGCTGGAGGATGAGTGGAAAGGAGGAGGAGAAAAGTCCATATTTATCTGTTTTTCTAACCTCGGCCTGCTTTGATTTTTTTCTATCAAGTACAATAAAATGGGCGAGCTTGCAGGGAATACCACACAAAGCAATGTTCAGTGAGGTCTAGAAGCGTTCGGCCGGGGAAAACTGACAAGACAGGCTAATGAACCGTGTAGACAGGGAGAAAATAGCCAGCGTTTGCTAGATTTCAAACCCTCGCCGTCTCTCTTAGACCACCTATCTTGGATTTATTCCTAATAAAATAAGAAATAAACAGACCCTACACTTTTCCTTTCTTCAAGAAAGAAGTGGGGAAATGCCCATGAACAAAGCCTTACAATCAGAGGTGGTCACTGGCAGTTAACACTCCCATTATTATGGAGGGTAAATAAAATAAAGACAAAAATTAAAAGCGACAAGAAACAGGTCAAGTTTGCAGGCGAAGCTTTTACAAGCTCATCTCTCCAGGTCGAATCCCAGAGCCAGGCTTAATGAAGCAATAATAGCCACATTATTCAAAAATTTTCATTTTGATGGAAATGTATCTAAAAGGGACTTAATCATATGCAAATAATAAAGGAGGTGGTAGTGACCCAGCAAGCAATATGCATACAGATTTTTTTTCTTAGGGATGTTGAAATTGAAAGTCGCATACCTGGTCAGTTAGATTTGCTGATCTTGTTACATCTTCACTGTCTGACTTTGATCCTCCTTCTCTATCATCTATCACCAAATCGATAGGCATTTTCCCTTTCAAACAGCTAATATACCGGTGGCAGAAATTGTCACATAATTCGTGTACCTACATTATGACAGAAATAAAAAAAATGGAAATATAATCAGGACTGCATAAATGACATTGACAAGTGCAGCCCACCCCCCTTGTGAGATCCAAACTTCCAAATAGGGGAAACACGGGGCAATTGTCCTCTAGAGACCCCCAGATGCATTCAGAATTAGGAATAACTTTCTTTTCTTGGAAAATAGAGATATCCCAGAAAATTGACAGTGACAAGATGATTCACAGGCTACAACATATTCAACACCCATGTTAAATTCATCTGCTCCTGGGGCTGTGGCCATTACAGAGGTGACCTGCATGGGTGACACTTAAGGTAAACTATATAATTTCATTCAGTTAGCTTTACCATAAAGCTTTGCCCCCCCAAAAAAAAAAATTCTAAGGAAAATATGCGATACACACACACACAATTTGCACTGTGGTGACGTGAGATACATGCCTGACAGCACAAATCAAGTCGCCTTTGCCCTTTATATGAAAAAGAAAAAAAAAATACAGCCACAAAACTTATCCAATTGATTTTTTCAAAAAGAAACAAAACAATTACTAAAAATATTTAAATCTAAATAAAGCTGACTCTTACAGGCCCCAGGCATCTCTTGCATGCAAAAACTCACAAGAAACCCTGGTGTGCTAACAATTTAATGTTAGTTTGAATTACAATGCATTAAGTTTTTATTGCTGAGATTTATAGAACAGCTAGCAAAATCATGTTACCCCACACCCTCTCTTGAGTATGAATGTGAGGTGTGTGCTAGGTCACAGATTCAAGAATTTGACACAACTGTTAACCCTGCTTTGTCTCTGAGCAAGGTCTAACATGCCCTCTTCCAAAGGACTCCTCACCCACTAGCCCTTTCCCTCAGTCCCTTCTGAGTTTGATCGACCAGTGATCTCAAATCATCTTTTAGAAACTCACAAAAATAAGAGAACCTGCCCCCCAAATAGCAAAGAAGAGGAGAAAGAAAACACACACACACACACACAGAGAGAGAGAGAGAGAGAGAGAGAGAGAGAGAGAGAGGCATTAACTTGTAAAACAAATTCACTCCGGCATTCAAAGCATGCACTGGGCGGCCTAACAGTGTAGCTGAAGCACAAAGCCAGCAAGGTACACTAGGCTAGGGTGTCTGTGATCCCGGTTTTAGTGGCTGAAATTGTAATTAAACTGCAAAGAGAAATGGACGCTAAGATTGGCCTTGACACTAATTACCAGAAAGAAAGACATTTATGCAAATATCTTGGAAGCCTGAACTTCAGTCCTTCCGAACCCTCCCTTCTGTGTGGTTAGGATGAAAGGGAAGGGAAGGGAAAGGGAAATAAAAAATTTACCTTCTCTAATTCCAACAGATGAAACCTTAATACTTGTATGGCTTGAATCATCTGCAAAGATACAGAAAGAATAAATACTCCATTTCTGGTTTGCAGAAAATTGGCTGTCACAGCTATACCATCCCCAACTCCCCCCTCCCCCCATAAATAGAGTTATTTTGATTTATGGCAATAACACTAAAACTTAATAGCAGCAACTGGGTACCATCTAGAGGTTTATATTTCTTAAGGAGGAAAAAATAGCTAAACCAACAACAAAACATCTAAGTGGGGATCATAAACACCCTCCTCCCCCACGGCTCCCCCTCCCCAGTCTTACTGCTCTCACAGCAACCCCAGGGGCAACTGTCCGAGCTATACTTTCCCCGTGATGATGAAGTTACGGAAAAGCTTTCCCCACTTGTCCCCTAACAGTGGGTTTGCACTTTGCAAAAATTCTTCCTGCCTCCTGTCCATGCATCTTTGATGCCAGTTGGTTGTTTGGGGGCTCTGCCCTTGCTGTGGCCCTAGTGAAGAAGGCTCCTAAGACTGGGAGTCCACAAGGTTTAAGCACACACGCTGACAGGCAGGGAGATAAATCCCCAGGCTGATTAGAGCTGTGCAGTCTGGCCATCATAAAAAAACAAAAGCTGGCCGTCCCAGCCGCTGCTCTTGGGCCCTCTCAGATGAGTTTATACCCCGGGATCCAGTCCCCAAACACTTGTCCCTAGACAAAAAAAAAAAAAAAAAAAAAAAAAAAAAAAAAAAAGTTTGCAGTTGACTTGCAGCTATGGACAGACCAACCAGTCTGGAAAGCTCAAGGCTGGGGCTGAAGGAACAGATAGGGGAGGTGAGTGAGGAGTCAGCTCTTACCAAGTTATCCAGTTCTGGATTAGAAGAGAACAGAGGTTTTTCTGCGCGAATCTAAACACGAGTGAGGAGAGGGGAAAGAAAAAATGAAATGAAATGAAATGAAATCTGTGCGCCTTCCTGCTTCCTTGCCTCCTTTACACTGTTAGGCAGGTAGGATGTAACCTCCAGGAAGAATTTGCAACTCAAGTTCATCCCTCACGGAAACACTTCCACTGTGAACCCGGTAGGCCCGAGGCCAGCCCAGACCGCTCCCTGACTTCAGCTAGAGCTCCGTTTATGCGAAACGATGCTCGCCTGCCACTCCAAAAGAGCCACATAGCGTGGCCGGTCCTGATTTCATTTCCTACTGAGCTTTCTGCCCCGGCTTGTAGATGGCAAGTGGGTGCGAAAGGTGGGTGATGATCTACAAACACTTTCACTGGGCGCAAATCTCAGGACGGCGGTAGCACGCGTGGGTTAAGGGAGAACATTTGTGGCTACCTTTGGGAAATTACTCACTCTCTACACATCTATCTCTCTATCTCTAGATAGATGTGTGTGTTTGTATGTGTGTGCTTGTGTGAGCGCGGGGGGGCCCGGGGGCAGGATTCTGTTTTGCTTTCTTTTCACTTTCTGGTATTTTTTAACATTTGTTTTGCTGACCTGTTTGGCGAACACGGCTATATCTTCATTGAATGACTCTGACGAGCAGACGTCCCCGCCCGCCACCCCCGGCTCGCGGGGGGTACAAGTAGCTAATTCACATTTCTCAAAAATCAGTGCTAAGAGAGGGAAGAGGGGGTGTCTGCAAAAAAATACAACAGTCACAAACAACACAATGATTAGTCCGCAGTCACCGAAGAGGGGAGAAAAAAAAAAGGCGCCCAAGAGAAACAACCGAGTAGCTCTAGCCAGGGAGACCCTTGGGTGATCTGATCAGATGTTTTTGCCCTTCTGCTCACCCCCGCCCAGAAGATGGCTCACCTCCCCCTGGCTCCTAGGGCTCTGAACTTGAAGGCCAAGAGCCCTGGACCGTGTCTGTGGATCGGTTCAGCGTCTATGGCCGGAGAAATTGGCAACATTTGCTGCGAATAAAACCCAAGCGGTTCCAGCAGCCATTTTGAATTAAGTTTGCACCGCGACAAACCCTCGTCCCTCTGCCGCACTTGCACGAGCGGGTACTGGGGAAGGCGCGGGGGGCCTCGGGGTGGAAGAAAACCAGCCTTTGCCTTCCTCGGAAGCAAGGCACGGAGTCCCAAGCTCAGGGGAGCTCGGTGGCAAGCGCGCAGCAAACTTGCGGAAAGGGCCTCTGTGGGTGCAGAACTGACTGTCACGGGGCTTCACCTACGGACCCCAGCCGCACGCCCCCCCCCCCCGGGAGCCGGAGGTCCTCTACGGCTCCCCAACTCTGCCCTCCCCTTCGCAGACGCTCCCACAGTCTCCCAAGGTAAGTTCCTTCAAATGCACCTACACTCAAGCAAGCCTCCCATTTCTTCTGGAGTGGTAGAGCAACTAGCATCTAAAAGGCCTAAATGTGGCTCTTCTCAGCCCATTAAAAAAAAAAAAAAAGACTTAATGCTCAAGGAGTCTCGAGCCGATTTTATTAGCTCTCACAGCCCAGCTGGGAATTTAACAGTTTGGGGGCCTTTTCAAAGCTTCCCCAAATGTTCTGTCCTGGAACTTAAACCATTTGCAGAGAGAAAGCTAGGATTTAAGCAAATCCATCGCACAAGGGACCAGAAACTAAAGCGAAAGATTTTTACCCTTAGCCGGGAGGGTCAACGTTACATTTTTTTAAAAGAAGGAAAGTGAAATAAAAGTTATTACAAAGTTTAAAAATAAAAGTGGGAGGAGTGAGCCCCCTAAACACAGAAGAGTAGAAGTAACTTTCAAAAGGCTTTTCTAGTGCAGAGCCTAATAGAATGGCCGACGGAATACATTAAACCCTGGCCAGAAAGCCTCCGGAAGAAGAGCATCCCACAAGCACTTCTTGCTAAATCCGCAGGTTTCGCCTTTGAACACAAAGTGACAAAATGTCCAGAAGTTTCTAAATGTCTGTGTCCATTCAGAGCGGCCCCTCTCCTTGACTCCAGTTGAACAAACTCATGTCCCCCTTGTCTGACCTGCAGCTGTCCTTCTGACTTTATTGTGCCCAGGCAAAACCAGCATACGGTGGCTGAGTAAACTCCGCAAGTCAGAACAATCAATGGCTTAAAAGATTTTCCCTACACTAAAAGTTTCGTTCCAACACAAAGGCGCCTACACTTAGAAACCCCCAACAACTCTCCGGCTAAGTCTAGCAAGCAACGTCTCAGATTGGCTGACTCCAGTCTGAGAGAGGGAATCTTTAGGCTGCCACCCCAGCCTGGGACTCCTTTGCGGCCAACGTGGCGGCCAAGCCGGCGCTGAGCCTGCACCGAGTGCAGATGGAAATGAAGAGGAGGCTTCTCCCCGATTTCCACGCGGTGTGAATGCAGTCACCAGTTATGTGCTAATAATCTAGGGAGCTCTGACTTTCCGGTTGCAAGAGCTTGGCGCATGGGGGGAAGCGTCGCATCTCCACTACTTAGCTCCTGCCCGTTATACCTACCCATAAATGGCATCTTTATCTCTCTTTAAAGCGTCGTTGACCGAGGAGCCCATGCTCGGGGCCATGGCGTTGCTATGCGCTGTGTGAGGGTACTGGTGTGAGTGCAGAGGAGGCCCGTGGTTCAGGTGGTGGACCGGCTGCATGGACCTGGCTGCATGCGGGTCCCCATACATTGTGGACGGGATGCCTACTCCATCCATGCCCCCATAATGGGGTAGGTCGTCGTACTGCATGACAAACAGGAGAGAGGAAAAAAGGGTCAGAGGCCGAGCGAGTAAACGGGAATGCTACCGAGCTTATAAAAGGTCCGTCCAGCTGGACCCTCCAACCCCAATTCCGTGGCCTTCCATCTCTAAAGTTGAGCTTTCTATCGTAAAAAAAATCACTTGAACGGTAAAAATTCTAGAATTCTCACTGAGAGTCATCTGAGATGAAGGTTCCTGTCCTAACTTGCGACCATATAGAATCATTCAGAAATCCAAAATCTTTTGGCAAGGAAGGGAGGAAGGAAGAAGGAAAGGCAGAGAGGCATTCTCCCGGAGGCGGAAGGTAAAACATGCATGTTTCTGGAGGAGGAAACCGAAAATCACAACAATAAAACGTGCTGGGACAGTGCAGCAGACCCGCCTAGTTTCACAGCCCCTTCACTTCAGGGGGATTTTTTTTCTTCTTTTCTTTTAAAAGTTATGATGGGAAGAGTTCCCAAGCACTGAATTCAGAAAGGCTTCTCATTTTATTTCCCTGCCAGCATGGGATTGGGCAGTCTTGCAAGACACAAGGTTTGCCTTGCTTTCCCAAACAAACTCTGCTAAATAAAAGAAGACTGAACTGCTCCCTTTCATACGTGTGGTGCTGAAGTGTGCAGAAGGCAGCTTGTGCTGCCCGGTACAGTTCAACCTGCACCTGGGCAATGTTCCCTCCAAGTTTAAAGAAAAGCTGGAAAGGAAGCAGCTAACGTTCTATTTCATTAGTTTACTCTCACAAACTTTCTCCCTGAAGTAGAAGTCAGGGAAGCAGTTGCTACTCCTTAGTTTTAAAGCAAATTCAAAAAGCAAACACACATACACACCTACCTTGATGGGAGGAGGGCACTTTCAAATTGATTGGCATTACTGCCTGCGATAAACTCAGCTATTTTAATTTTCCTAATTGTTTTATTTCAGGCCAGTTCCTTTTTTTAAGATTTGGAAATGTTGAGAGTGAAATGATTTTCAAAGAAAGGGGAATTGGCACTTTCATCTCTCAAAGCCAGAGGTGTGAAGAGATTTTGCAGGAATGCTGACATTTGCCTGAACCGAGAGGGGAAAGAAAGAAAGAAAATGTGTCCTCTAGTAACTTTCTCTTCCAAAAGGGGGCTTTGAGGGCCAGGACACAAATTATGCAAGGCAGCCTTTTTGTAGACACTTTTCTTTTAAAAAGCCACCTCAGCCGGCTCTTCATTGTCTCGGTTTACTTTCGAGGCATTTCCATTCAAATAGGAATATTGGAAATTAGTATTGCGTCCTGAAAGTGAGCTGCTGTGTGTGCTTAGTACCCAATCAGTATGCGGTTTATCTAAGAAAAAAATCTGCAAACTTGTTATCTTGCATAAAAATCCATGTAAATTAAAATTACTTTTAAAAGACGAACACTTTTCCAACCTAAAATTCGCTTTACTAGGACAGTTACTTATCTAAAAATGCTACCTACTTTCTACTGATATTAAAGATGAGCATAATCGATAATATCAGAAGTTCCCAGTTGCTGATTTTAATTAAACATCTTTAAACTTTTGGTCCCTGAATGCTTAACAATTAGCAGTGGGTATGTAAGATATTTTCCCCTTCTCTCTGTCTCTATCTCTTTTTCTTTTAAAACAAGCGATTCCTTGAGCTGTGTTATGAATCTATAGACAACTTGATCACTTGAATTAACAACCACAAGTAACAAATGCATAAAGTTACAGATGCACCAAGTAAACCTGTCGATTTAGGCCGCGGCTTTATGAGCCTCATTCAAAGAGAGAGAGAAAGGAACTTAACAGCAGTGTCTTTCAGGCACGTTCCAATTTAATCTCACATAGGAGTTCCACGATTATTTTTAATACGTACCCTTTGCGCCATCGGCCTCTCTGGCTCCCTTCCTACTTCAACTTCTAATATATCCTCTTTAAGGCCAGTGTGAAAAGAAACAAATATGCAGACTCCCTCGGAAAAAAAAAAAATATGATGCACGACCAAAAAAAAAAAAAAAAAAAAAAAAAAGAAGAAGAAGAAAAAAAAAAATCCCTTTGCGTCTTCAGCAGAGTTACTGGTCCCAGATCTTCGGTCTACCGGACCTGAAGCGAGGCACCCGCGTCGCTGAGCATAAAAGCGCTCTGGTTCCAAGACAGCAGCGGGAGGAAAAAAAAAAAAAAAAGCAGATCTTCTCTCTCCCCCCCAAGAAAAAACCAGTTTAAAAAAAAAAAAGAAAGAAAGAAAGAAAAGAAAAGAAAAGAAAGGAAAAAAAAGAGCGCCCCTCAGACCCAACTACCAAATCTCATGGCTTTCTGCCACTCCAGCTGTCAATCACAGGCGAGGTTGTCAACGTGGTGAATGAATGATCATCCGCTCTGTCTTCTTCTGGTCAGAACACCTCAAATGTTAATATTCAAATGCACAAAGCCCTAGCGCCCGTTTTCCTTGGATCAGTCCTAATTCCTAATCAGTTTTTCTCTTCTCTCGCTCTCTTTCTCTTTCCCTCTCCCTCTTTGCAACTGCAGCAACTGAAGGGAGATTAGAGAGGAGGGTTAAAAAAATGTCTGTCTGAGTTTGTCTTAAAGGAGCCACGATCGATGCTGCCCGCTTGCAGTCGCCGTGCGCGTGTAAAGTGTGTGTTGCACAGGCGGAGAGGTGGATTCCGACCAGAATGCTAGAACCCGGAAGTAGTGGTGGCCATAACAGGTCGCGTCTTACACAATGCATTGGGCTGCAGCAAGTAGGCTCCTCGGCAGGGGTGGGTGCGCGAAGCGAGCTCTGGCCGCACTGGAGAGGCAGAGAGGCGCTCCATGAATTCGCACGCCCAGGCAACCACCAACCACACACCCGGGGCACAGGCACACAGACGAGGGCTGCAGCTCCCCGACCGCCGGCTCGGCGTCCGGCGTCCTCTCCGCTCCTTCCCCTTCCAGCCTCTCTTCCCAAAAGCGGACTCTCGAAATAAATTGGAGCAACGAACGCAGGAGCGGGCAGATGCCGGAGTTAATTCGCTCGGGGCTCCGCTCGTGAAAGACTTCTAGCCTTTCCTCGAAAATATTGGGGTCTGCCAGTAATTTTCGGGGTGGTGGTGGGTGATGTAAAAAAAAAAAAAAAAGTACTGGATTCTCTGCTAGACTCCCCGAGGAGGAGAGAAGTCAGAGCCAGAGCAAGAAGAGGAGCTGGAGCTGAACTGGGAAGAGGTTCAGCTCCGGAGTCCTGAGAACATGGGGTAGCGGCCGCCCGGGCGTTCTGCAGAGCCAGCTAAAGAGTTTTTGGGGTTTTCTTTCTTTCCTTCCTTCCTTTTTTCCCCACCCGCTGTCAGAAGTGGACGCACGGCCGGAGGAAAAGAAACGCTTGCATTTTTGTCACTTGGAGCCTGGACGCCCCCACCTCCTCCCTCTCTCTCTCTCTGTCTCTCTCTCTCTCTGTCTCTCTCTCTCTCTGTCTCTCTCTCTCTCTCTCTCTCTCTCTTTCTGTCTCTTTCTCTCTGTCAACCCTCAGCCCCAGCCGCGGCGCGGAGTGAGCGAGGAAGGGAGGAAACAATGAGCCGGGCGCCGGGAATGTGCCCCCAGCGCTTGTTTACAAACACCCGAGCTATTTATGACCGCCGGAGAGCGAAACCCAACCCGGGCGCCGAGCAGCCAGACCTCGCGGGCGCCCGGGGCCTGGGAGCCGCGGGACCCGGGGCTCCTCCTCGGTCGTGCGGTCGGCAAGGTAGCCGTGCGCCCTGGGCGCGGCGCGGCCGCACAGCTCCGGGGCGCTGCGGCCGGGGCTGCCTTTGTCTAGGCGACGCCGACGGGCTGCAGCCTCGGCCTGGCTCAGGCCTGGCCTGGAGTGGCTGTGCCTCACCCCCCCCCCCTCCTTCCATCAACACCCCAGCTCCTTCAGCAGCGACGCCCGGCGCCCGCCTCCCAGATCTCCATCCCTCGGTGTTTCTATCTCCGACCCGGCCCCGCGAAAACTCCCAGTTCCAGAGAAAAAAAATAAATCCACTTCGGAAGCTGAGATTTCAGACAAAAGCTGACCCTGCCCACAACTTGAAGTCTCCAACCAGCCACTGTTTTTTGTTTTTGTTTTTGTTTTTTTCTTTCTTTCTTTTCTTTCTTTCTTTTTTTTTTTAACTTTCTCCCTTGAAATACCACACCCCAGACTTAAAAAAAATTTTTTGAGTCTTTTTATTCTCACTCCGCGCTTGTCTCCAGTTACTCTATTTACTGGGGTTATTTTACTCTTTATGTTTTTGCGCTCGGCTCTCATGGGTTTAGACAGCTCGGTCTCAGTAGCTCTCTGAGCAGCTGGAAAGCTCACATCCCAAGGCAGAGCTCTCGGCTCGCTGGGCTCGGAGAGGGTAACCCCCCACCCCCCAGCTGAAACCTCGCAGAAAACTCCCCCTGCGGTCGACTGGAAAATGAGCTCACCCAAATCTCGGTAGGCAGCCGTGTAGAGAGCTCCGCCAATCGGAAGGCGTCCCCGCCCAGGCGGCCGCGCATTGGCTGCGGGGAAAATCAATTATCAAATAATCGATCAGCAGGGAGCTTCGATCTGCTGGGAATGCAAACTGCCATTCCGGATTCCCGCCCTGAAGGTGGCCAAAAGGCTCTCTCTCCCTCAAAGCAGCCGGCCCGCGCTCCCATCGCCCCCGCCCCCATTCCAGCGCCAGCTGCGGACCGAACCCTCACCCCAGGGGCTGGGGAAGGTTATTCCGAGAGTTCTGAGAAAGATTAGGGGACTCCCTTCACGCCGAGCTTGTTTGGGAAAAAAAGTTAGCATCTCTGAAACGTACTGAAGCCAACTCTAAGGCTCAAAGTCAAAGACTTGTTTCCATTCTCCTCCGGGCAGTTTCTATTGAGGGGGCTTCCGTGGAACAGGAGACACGGGGTCATCATCACTAGAACCGAGAGCTAGAACGTTGGAGCCTCTTTAAGCACTTTGCACAAGCCAGCGCCGGGCTGCTTCACACCAGCAGTGGTGCGTGGGGGTGAAGCCCAGCAGACCCGGCGTGCGAGCCTCCAGCACAGCACTCCGCCCCCGACAACGAACACCTGAAGGGCTGACATATGTTCACCTCAAACCTTCAATAGGCTTTGCCTTGAAAGAGATCCGAATGTTTAAAACAATAAAAGGCCCCACGACCCCTCACCATGTGCCTCGGTGCCTCCTCTCTGCCTCTTTCTTGTTTCGACACTCAAGTTCGAAACTCTTTTCCTTTTCTCATCAAGTTCTTAGACGTTTTTCTTGTCATTTGCAAGGTTAATGCAGACTTGTGCGTCGAAACTAGGCACGGGCGAGCGAGGTGAATTACCTCCCGGCCTCGGGAAGGATATTTTCCCCAAGTTTTGGGAAGCTTGAGCTGGCTGGGCCGAGCAGCACACTTCTCTGCGGATTATGGAACTGATTTAGCTGGGCAGGCTGCCTGAAAGCCCTTCATCCCCAGCCCCCAAACTTGAGAGTGGCGGTCTACCGCTGCTGGGTCCCGCGGGCTGTGAGCGTCACCACTCCAGGGGGCCCAGGGGCCGTCAGCACAATTCCCAGTTGGTGGACAGGGTAGGGGATGGGGTGGGTGGGAAGGACAGACACCACCTTGGGCATCGGCTATGTTTACAGTCCTTAAATGAATCGCAAGGGAAATAGGCTAAATATAATTTAAGTGGGAGAAATTTACTGTGAAATACATGTAGATGACTTCTTTAGGAGCCCAAGGGAGTCTCAGGCCGGCTTGAGTAATAGGCTTAGAGTTTCCTTAACTCTGCGTGAAGGGTTTGAAGTTTGGAGGCCAGTTTTAATAAACAACGTTATTTTTGAGAATAGGATTTATAAGAGATTCTTGCTTTTCATTAAATTATTTTTGTTTACCAATCTAAGTGGCAAAGAAACATACAGGTAAGAAACTTTTCCAAACATAAGCACAATCTTCAAAGCAAGGACAAGGCTATTGTTTTTAAAGTGATGTGTCAGGCTACCTTTAAAATACACTTTAATTACCCACCAACAGGTTTTCCCTTAAAGACGAGGATAGTTTGAACTTGTGAGCTGAAAATAAAGCCCTGTTGGTTTTGAAAACTTTCCATTTACGAATGTGAACCTGAACCTAGTACTACTTCCAGACCTTCATAGATTACTTCTGAACAATTGAACAACTAAAACACTTTTACAATGTAATTATAGTAGTATGAATTGTTTGCCCAAACCTCATTCTGGATAAGGATTTTACAATTAGCAAACAGCTATTACAGTTGGGGCTTGCTGACAGAAATCGCATAGTATAGAATTGCAATATAGTAGCCATAAAAAAAAAAAAAAAAACTCTTCTACGGAGGCAGCAATTAATCATCTATTAAAAGGAAAGGTGAGGAGACAGTTCAAGATATCTCAGAAAGTTACTGTGACATAAATTACCCCGGAATGTGTGCTGTTCTGGGATGCACCTACCCTCAGCTAAATTCAGATGTTTCCTTTTTAAAGACAGTAGCATTCTGGTTTTTGCAAAACACTGGTTCAGTTCCAGCTATTGGCCCTACTCTTGAACATGCAGGCCTTCTATTTTCTAGTTTGCTTTCATGGCTCCCAGTGTCTTCCCACAGATAGACTGCAGGGACTAAGAGAGAGGCAAACTGAGCCCCTGGTCCCTATTGTCTATCACCTACCCTGCTGGGAGGCCTCTAAAGCAAGCACTGCTCCTCTTGGCTGCTGGTAGGCACAGGGAAATTCCTGTAACTTTATGTTCTCTTGTGAGCAATTCTTTGCAACGTTCATATCCTGAACTGGGCTTTTGTTTCTAAAGTTCACACCGATGAGTCAGACCCAAACTCTTCAAAATTAAAGAGGCACCTCTGAGGGTAAAATGTGTGTGTATTTGCCAGCCCAACACAAATAAAGTCCTGTTAATCAATGGAGTTTGGCAGCTGTGTTCACAAAATGATAAGAGTTTATCATCTGGCACCTCATTTTAAGATGCCTGTTAAAATGTTGTGGTCCCTCTGGAGGTTCTCCTGGAGTGTGG